GTGTAACTCAATAATTCAACTGGTGATAGCAGGTAGGTTCAAAGAAAACCGGGTCGCACGTCCAACCTTCTCACGAGCCGAAAGCCTTTTCTTTGAAACAGCAGAAACGAGCCTGTTTTATACAGCTGCGGACCGACCACGATTTGTATGCGAATCACGAGGCAACGAGATTTCACGTTAACTGACCGAGACTACTCGGCATAAAACGCGGGCGCCGCCATTTTGGTTTTTTACAGTTGGAAGGACCAGTGTTTACATACTGCGCAGATTCGAACGCGTTTCCGAGGTAGGCCATTTTCTTAATTTTCCCCACACTCCCCCTGATCTCATGATCACAAACAGGGCAGGGAGGTGGCGATCGTCGCCGTCGAGTCCCTCTCCGAAGGGGATAACACAAGCTTCATCCTCGTGCGTGTTCTCGTCTGTGGTTTGAGTGTCGGTAAACACTGTGTCCGCCGGGAGGCTGCTGTTATCAGAATCGCTGCCCTGCAGGTCTAACTCAAAGGCAGATTGAACGCTCACTACTCCCAGACTCGGAATCGCTTTCATCGCTCGGTAGCGGTAGTGATTGCGTCACCGGTCGCAAGTCTTTAATGTGACGAGGCACCCCATCAACTCTCACAGATTGCGGGCTGATAACCTCCGTAACACGTCCAGTGCCGTACTTTTGTCGTACACTTGCCGCGTGGGTTTTTGACCCAAACGATGTCTCCTTTTTTCAATCTCCCTCCAGTCACTTCTAGTTCAGGCAGCGGTTGGCTTCGATGCCCCTCACGCGGACATGATATTTGTGTGCAGTGCATCAGCCGGCGCCGTGGATGGTGAAATGTTATCCTTCGGGGCGACATTATACCAGTAAACCGCTTCCGAAACTGTGCAGCCCTTCCTGGCTGCGATGGTCTTGATGGTTCTGTGGTTCCGCTCCACGATGCCGTTTCCACTTGGCGAGTAGGCACATCGAAACCGCAGATGCACGTCCCAAGTGTCCGCAAATTTTTAAAATCTTTACTGGTGAACGCAGTATCGTTATCCGTCAGTATTTAAATGGGTGGGCCTCGCTCCAGGAAAACATTCTCCAACAGTCGAATGACGGTGCTCGCGTCTTTGTCTGCGCAGCGGCCGCCATACCGCGAACCTGGAGGGACCGCAATCAATGAGAGTTAAAAAATTCTCACCATTGTAGTGAGTTATGTCCATTGCCAGTCTGCTCCAGTTGCTCTTCACGCTCAGTTCTCCTCTTTCCCAGTGAACGGGTGCCGGATCGATCGACTGACAGGTTGTACAGGCCTTCACAACGGATTTAACGCTTTTCTGGACACCTGCGGGTCGACTAACCTGGCGAAGTACAGGGTTCGTTTCACGCCCGGATGTCCGCATTGACGATGCGTATTGGCAACCTGGTCCTCATCCAGTCGTCTCCTGCCACTGCACAGCTCTCGAGTGCCGGTTCTCCTCTCTTGAGCAGTTCTAGCCACCTGTGCGGTACTCTGGTGAGGCGATCTGCACGGTTCTGACAGGACTGCACAAGTGTCACGTCTACGGTCAATCCATATTCGTCCACCAACGATCGCAAAATGCCCAGCCGTCGCCTGACCAGCATCTCACCAGCCGCCCTTGTGTTCACCCGTGCCTTCCCGGTCAAGGTGTCTGAAATCCACCGGTGCACACACGCCGAATCAGTGACCAAGCGCAACGTTGTCGCCTCCCACTGGAGAGCCAGATTCACTCCTTTAAGCGCCGCATCGAGTTCAGCCAAATTAATGTGCCTGGCATCATTAGTCGGACGCAGCCAGCACGCATCTTCGATGACATTTTCGTTTACTTCAATGCCACTCCTGTCGCCACGGAACTCGCATCCACCCAGACTGTGATCTCGTCACCACTCATGCACCAGTCTCCTCCGACGGGATCCAGTTCCCGCACTCACTTAACATCTCTGCTAGTATGCGACAGAGAGAGGGATCTTTTGATGTTATCATCCCATCCATTGGTTGCTGCGGTTGCCAGGCGCTTGACGAATGCAACTGCCACCCTGAGCCATCCACACACTGGGAAGTGTCCAACAAGTTTCCCACACAACGAAAAACACGCGCCGCCGGGTCAACACATCAGGGGCTTCCGGAATTTGACTTCCTCGTTTCCATCGGAGGGTGCCATTTTCTTCCCAGACCTGCAAGCCAAGAACTCTTGCTCCATCTCTCAGTCGCACCGGATCCTTGCACACCAAACCGTAATCCGAAAAGTGTTGTCTTACACGCGATGCAGAGGCCAAACTTTCATTAATGAAGATATCATCAACGTATGCTGATGTGGCACTTTCAATTGTGCGGTCTTGCGATGCGATGGCGTCTATAACGGATTTCATGATGAGTAGCGCCACATTTAGCCCAAATCCTAGCCGCGTAAGACAGAAGCGTTGGCCTTTGAAAATAACCGTTTGAAATGGCCACAGCGCTTCGTCGATGTGAATCTGAAGATATGCGTTCCGCAGATCCAGAAGCGACACATTGACCCCTGCCGCCGCCACGTTCTCAACTTATGTGCGCACACTTCTGCATCGGCAGTGAAAGCATCCACAAAGTCGTTCAATTCGCGGTAATCGAGTACCGGACGCACCTTCTGTTTCTGCTCCTGCACGACTGCCATCAAGGGAATCAGACCCTTTGGGGGTCCCAGTCTTTCCTGGGGTATGGAATCAGCCAGCCGTTCACAATCCACTGCTGAAGCTCTTTCTCGTATTTTCTCTGATGCTGTCTGGAACTTTGTACTCAGCGACCTTGTTGCGAAGCTGAACTGGCGGGTCTTTTTGGGCCCATTTCCACCTGGCGGTCCACACTCTCTCGTCGGAATTGAAGGAGACGTCGAAATCCGGCTCACTAACGCAAAGGGCTGCACACACCTTTCTTCTTTCACCCAGTTCCACATTTCCGGCTGGCGTGATCATCATGCCTCCTAACGCTCGGATCGCATCAATCCCAAGTAGCAGGTCGTACCCGAGGGGCCTTTGACGCCACCAAGACGTCGACTTTGGCATGACTCCCTCCGTCTGTTAGGGGACTGACACAGTCCCGACACCACAACAGGCCCGGGACACCCCGTCAATCGTCCGAATCTCGATTTGTTGACTGTTCCATGTCACGCATCGATCCGCGCTAACGATCGATCGGGAACATCCAGTGTCAACGAGCGCCGAACATCGTTTACCCTCAACGTACACGTTGATAACAGGCAATGCCGCATTTACTGACCGAGAGGGGGCAAGGGTTGCGACAGCACCTTGTCCCCGGACTCGTTTCCCGAGCAATCCTGTGCTACATGGCCTAACTCTTTGCAGCGATAGCAGCGTAGTCGTGCACGGTTCCGCCTGCCGCTCCCTCCTACGTCACTTCGGCTCCGGCAGTCCCTAGAGAAATGGTTGGGTCCACCGCACTTGTAGCACTTTGGGCCCTCCCTCGGTGTCTCAGGCGTTCTCATGGCTGCCGCGATCTGTTCCGTGTCCTTCAAGATGTTTCGGGCCCTGGCTAGCAATTCGTCAATTCCCAGTGTGTCCAATCTTGAAGACGCTCGCAGGAGCCGACTGGTGTCGTCTGGAAGCCCTGCCAGGAAGGCGCACCCCAGTATGCGGTCCGTTGCTCCGCCAAACGGTACTGCCAGCCTTCGCAAATCAGCCAGGTAAACATCCACGGTCTCACCCGGCTCGAGCCGTCGTCCGACGAACTGTTTCAAGCGATGAATGGATCTATTCCAAAGGCCGTATACAGGGCGTCCTTGATCTCTTCTAGGTCAGCATCGTCCCCGAGTTGTTGATATACTGCGTAGGCTCCTCCCGTGAGTCTCAGTGGGATGACTAGTGCAGGTTCCCTTTATTTTGGACACCCTGCAAACACGTTCGGCCTTTTTCAAACCATTCAACGATAGTCGGGCCCGTGGGGGAGCCGTCGAATTCTGGGATCAACTTTAGATCGAACTTGTCCATTGCCGAAATAGCTTGAAGTGTGTAACTCAACAATTCAACTGGTGATAGCAGGTAGGTTCAAAGAAACCGGGTCGCACGTCCAACCTTTTCACGAGCCGAAAGCCTTTTCTTTGAAACAGCAGAAACGAGCCTGCTTTATACAGCTGCGGACCGACCACGATTTGCATGCGAATCACGAGGCAACGAGATTTCACGTTAACTGACCGAGACTACTCGGCATAAAACGCGGGCGCCGCCATTTTGGTTTTCTTTTTACAGTTGGAAGGACCAGTGTTTACATACTGCGCAGATTCGAACGCGTTTCCGAGGTAGGCCATTTTCACAATTTCCCCACATTAAACGCATTGTTGTTTTTTTCGCTTGTATACCTTTTTTGTTGATATATTATCGTTTACATGTAACAAATGAATGTGGAAAATTTTGGGATGCAAAATATGTGTAGTGAGTGAATGTGTGTACGTACGTGTGTGCGTATGTATTGTTCATATGTTTCCCAAAAAAGAGAACGCGTTCTTCCGCAAGAGAATTACATGTTGTCGTATAAGGGGAAAAGTAAGAAGAAGATGATCAAACTTTATCGCGGAATACTTATAGACCCGAAATCTTCCCCTAGTAGCGGATTTTTTTTTTCAGGCAAGGGAGCTAATTCACTAATAGTCATGTTTGTGTGTGCGATAACCTCTCTGTTTTTTTCCCGCTCAGTAACTTTGTACCTCTTAGTGGCTGGTGTCGAAGACTCAGCGAGAAACGAACTTATTAACAAGCGTTTTCTTGTACGCTAACTATGGTACTAAGAGAGCTGTCCCTGTTGAGTGATATTTACCAAATTTAGCAAGCCACAAATGATACAAGAACCTAGTGCGTGAGAGAGAAAAACAAAGATATCGAGTGATTTGGAATAAATACGTATTAATGTGCAGTCGGGTTTATCGTGTTGGATGATAAGTGTAGCACATGCCCCGGAAACGCAGAACCATTTTCGATTAAATTCAAGAATTCTATAACGCATGTGTGGTTTCCACAGCGTGATATGACAGTCGTATCGACCATCCCTTCATGGGTCGGCTTAAACACACCTTTTTGTCGCCGGAGCGCGTCGAGGTCTTTCCTTTTGACAAAGCTGTCTCCGGCTGCCGACGTCAGACAGATGGCTCGAATGGGTTTGGCTGGGTGAGCCTGGAAGTGAGCGGGCGGATCTTGACGGAAGTGTGTGTCTTGAATTGAGTTTGAGAAGTAGGAGACCCGGATGTCTTACAGAAAAAAATAAACAAGAAAGAACGAAAGAAAGAACGAAAGAAAGAAAGAAAGAAAGAAAGAAAGAAAGAAAGAAAGGATGATGATGATGATGTGAAAGCGAAAAACTGGGAGATAAAAATGAACGAAGAACGAAGATAAAGATAGACGAATACAAAAAAATATATATATATATATATATATATATATATTATTTATTTAAAATATGATTCCAACACGCTACATCATATTTTTAAATAAATAATTATATCTATGCTCTACTTTTGTATCGAGGACTATTTTTTAAAATAATAACAAAAAATACTAAAGAACTTTGGATTATTTCCCTAACGATTTCTTTCCTATTTTCTATATATTTACACACACACACACACACACACACACACACACACACACACACACACACACACACACACACACACACACACATATAAACATATATATATATATATATATATATATTACATAAAAGGAGAAAAAAAGATCACAGGACAAGAAGGAAGGAGAGATCAAAAGAAGGAAGAAAGCAAGGAAGTATGGAAGAGTGTGAAGGTATTTGATTGGAAGGAAATACGAATGTGTAAAGAAGGCTGGCGGTAGGTGCGACGTTGAGATCCGAAGACGGACTGGAATGACCAAGGATGCCTTCCAAATTCCAAAAGCTTGGCAGAATACTGCAAGACAGGAGGATTTCTTTGGTGACAAGAGATACTACGTGACACCTGTCCGCCTATACGGCAGCGAATGTTGGACGGTCTCCTCAAAGAGGAAGAAGAGACTCGAGACGGCGGAGGTATGATTCTACAGAAGGATGCTGAGGATATGGAGCGAGCGTGTGAGCAACGACGAGGTTTTGGAGAGGATGCAAATAAGAAGGAAACTTATGCTTAACACCAGGAAGAGGCAGATGAAACTTCTGGGACACGTAATGAGAAAAGAGCACCTGGAGAATCTGATACTCACAGGTCGAATAGAGGGGAAACGAGACAAGGAAAAGCAACGCGTGACATACCTGGCTGGCTTAAGTGGATGGCAGACCGTGTTCTCGAGGAGTTGGTAGAGGCATGAAACTTACTGAGAGCCACAAGGGATAGAGGGAAAGTGGAGAGCCATGATCCTGAAAGGATACGGCACATTTAAAAGAAAAGAGAAGGAAATAAAAGTACCAAATAAAGGAAGGGGAAAATGTAAGAAAAGAAGGTGGGGGAAAAAAAATTATAAAAGAAGGAATGAAAAGACATAAAAGAGGGTGTTTGAAACGAAAAAAATATTGATTGATTGACTCATTTTTTACGGCTTATCAACCCTTTGCAGATTAAACTATCCGTAGAAAATGAATCATGAAAATATTTTTTAGATTGTAAGAATTTTTTCTTGACATAATAATGACTTAGTGATACAAGGGATTAACACATAGCGGAGGTGGGGGGAGTGGTTTATTGATACTTTTCCCAAGGGTATTTGCACGTAAGTGGATATAACAAACCCAACTGGAATTGGAACCTTGTTCCCCGATTAAAAATTTCAAGCTTTATCCTTTACACCAGCCGCACATTCAAGCTTACAGCACCTGGTATTCCCAAGCAGTCACTCATTTAGGTACTGACCAGGCCCGACTTTGCTTAACTTCGGTGGCCGTAAGCCTCACAAAGAAGCTGCTCTTAGGAAGAACCTGTTGGAGTGGATCTTACTGTAGTTTCGTGTCTGCTTAGCAAATCTATGTTGGGAGAAGGAGATAAGAAAATTGTGTTGCAGCATTTTTTTCTTTTCTATTTATTTCACCCCAAGCAAGGCGATAATGCCACTAAGGCGCAAAAGCTTACCGGGTGTGAAAGTGAACGACAATGCGGAAACCCAATCCTAAGCAGAAAACAAGGGACTCATGGGGAAGAGTGAGAACCGGAAATGATTTTTTTTTATTTCTTTTGAGACAATAATAATATTAGCGAAACAAGTCTTACTAACTAATCCATAGAGGGGGGTTGCGCGTTAGTGAATATAACAATTATCCTTTACACCAGCAGCACATCAAAGTTTACAGAACCCGATATTTCTAAGCGGTTACTCATTGAGCTAGTAACCAAGCTAGATGTTGCTTAACTTCAGCGATCGTTCAGGGGACCAACGTTTCAACGCGAGGTAACTACACTCTTTCCGAAATAAGAAGCATAGGAGAGAAGGAAAGAAAGAAACAAATGAAAGAGAATAAGAAAGAGGAAAAAAAAAAGGAAAGAGAATAAGAAAGAGGAAAAAAGAAAGGAAAAAGAATAAAAAAAGAGGAAAAAAGAAAAGAGAATCAGAGAAAAAAGAAAGAAAAGAGAATAAGAAAGAGGAAAAAAGAAAGGAAAAAGAATAAAAAAAGAGGAAAAAAGAAAGGAAAAAGAAGAAAAAGAAGAAAAAGAAAGGAAGTAGAATAAGAAAGAGGAAAAAAGAAAGGAAAAAGAATAAAAAAAGAGGAAAAAAGAAAAGAGAATCAGAGAAAAAAGAAAGGAAAGAGAATAAGAAAGAAAAAGAAAAAAAAGGAAAAGAATAAAAAAAAAGAAAGAGAAAAGAAAAGGAAAAAGAAGAAAAGAAAAAAAAAAAGAAAAAGAAAGTAAAATAAGAAAGAGGGGAAAAAAGAAAAAAAAGAATAAAAAGAGAAAAAAGAAAAAAGAAAAAAAAGAGAAAAAGAAAGAAAAAGAAAAAGGAAAGAGAATAAGAAAGGAAAAAAAGAAAGGAAAAAGAATAAAAAAAGAGGAAAAAAGAAAAGAGAATCAGAGAAAAAAGAAAGGAAAGAGAATAAGAAAAGAAGGAAAAAATAAAAAAAGGAAAGAGAATCAGAGAAAAAGAAAGGAAAAGAATAAGAAAAGAAAAAGGAAGAAAAGAAAAGAAAGGAAGAAAAAGAAAATAAAGAAAAGACAGAATAAAGGAGAGTATGAAAAAAACAAAGATTTTTAATCTATCTTTTTTAGATAGATTTTTTAAGAAAAAAACAATAGTGTTTATTTAAAGAAAGAAAAGAAAAAAGAAATGCTGCAAGCAATACATGAATTAAGAAACGCTAAACTGAACAAAAGATAAGAACAATAACTTTTTCAGTTTTATGAATTTATTATAAAAAATCTCTTTTAAAACATGCTTTAATCTGTTGCATTTACTTTCACACAAAAGTTCATGTGAAAGTGAAAACATCCATCTCTTCGTCTCGGCAGATAAGTGTAAAATAGCAGGGTAGACTGAACTCTCTAGCCTTGAGTAACATTCTCGAAGAAGTAAAACTCTGAATTTAGAACTGTGAATAAGGTCATATGAAACACATCTGCTATCTTTTTCAAGAAATCCAAAAAAGAATATGCAATGTTATTGATCCTGACCTGGCATATCGGCTTCAGTCACATTCTCACCGCTGTAATGTAAGTTCCTTGTGCCTTTTCTATTTCTATAAATATTTCCATGGTAATTGTTTTGATGAGCTTTCCTCTTTCGTACCTTGACTTGTAAACGCAGTACTAGATTGGCGGCAAGGTCTCATAATCTTACAGTGGAAAAGACTAGACGCAACCGTAAGTTCTGTGCTAACAGTTTCTTCTCTTACACTTCTCGCTTGTGGAACACTCTTCCGTCTTCATGCTTTCCACTCCACTTTGATTTTAAAAAATTGAAATGTAATGTCAATCGTTATCTATTGTCTTCTTGATTCCTCTTTCGTTATTGTTCTCACTTATCGCCTGTGGAACTCTCTCCCCTCTTCATGCTTTACAGCCAACCTTCATTTCCAAAAATTGAAATGCAATGTCAATCGTTATCTTCTGCCTTCTTAATTCTTGTTCTTTTTGTATTCTCCCTCTTTAATAATGTTTTTTATTTTTCTCATATTTTTCATACTCAGTAACCGCCTCACTTCTGAGTGGCTTTATTGCCTTGCTTGGGGTGAATTAATTTTAAAAAAGTCATAGAAATTCATATATATATATTAATGAAAATGAATGCGAGGGGAGCCATGATTTCATACGTCCTGAAGGCATTTAAAACAAAAAAAATGAAAAACGAAATTTAAACATTTTGAAAATAAATGACAAAACAGGAATTAAGGAGACAGAAAATGGCGATTGATGTTGCATTTAAAATTGGCTGGAAAGCAAGAAACCATAAAAGAGTTTCACGACCGAGAAGTACGAGAGAAGAAACTGTTAGCATAGAACTTACGGTTGCGTCTAGCCATTTCAACTGTAAGAGGATGAGAACTTGCCGCCAATCAAGTACTGCGCTTACAATCGAGTAATGAGCTAAAATTCGTAAAATAGAGGTATCAAAGAGGAAGATTTCTAAGAATTATTACCAAAAATATATTTACATAAGACGCACATGGAAACTACGTTACGACGGAGGGAAAGAGACTGAAGCCGAGTTACCAGCTCAGGGTCGATAACATTGCTGATTTTTCTTTGGACTTCGTCAATTTTGACATGACCTTAGTTTTTGGCACAAGGGCTTGTTAACGAAACAGTTATTATTTTTCATCTAACCACAAAATATCCGATGACTGCTGTGTACATCATAAGCGTTTGCACTGATGCTTGTAGGATTGCTTTATCCAAGCCTGTATAAATATTTCCCCTTTTTTTAACACATAGGAAACTAGGCCTGAAATCACGTCACAAGTGAGGGAGACGCGTAACGGGAAAAACAAAAGGGTGTGGTTACCGCAATGCTTAGCGAAGCATGGGGTGTCTATCGACATTGATACTGTCTCCATTTTCTACTTCCTGGTCTGGATGGGCCCTGCAGAAAGACACATACATATATTATATATATATATATATATATATATATATATATATATATATACGGAGAGTGTGCACTTTAAAAAATTTATAACTTTATTTGTATATGCGATAGAAATAATCTGTAAAAAATGTTATAAAGTTTAATGTACCTAGTTTTAAGTATAGCTAAAATAACTAATATTATTTCAGGTGTTACTGTAAATCAGTTAGCAAATGTTTTCCGTGAACTACAAAATCGTATTACCCTTTGATTTGCTAATGATGGAGGACATGTGCAAACTTAAATAAAATTTCAATAAAACCTTAAAAAATATAGATTTTCTTTTTTCTAATCCATTTACAAATTATTTCTATCGCAAATACAAATAAAGTGCAATTTTTTAAGGTGCACACGAACGTTATGGACTCTCTCTCTCTCTCTCTCTCTATCTATCTATCTATATATATATATATATATATATATATATATATATATATGAAGAAATATATGTATATATAAATAAAAAGAAAGAACAGTAAGATATATAATCCGGTGTTCTTATTGATATTTTTTTTTCTTTACAAAACAGTGCTCAATGTAAATTTACAGAGCATAAATTCGCTTGAAGATGAAACAGAACTAATGCTTTTAATTTAATTATATAATTAGATTTGACGCTTTTAGCTTCAGTTTTTGAAACATGGTTATTACTGTGTAGCGAAGAAACCATATTTTAAATAAGTTAATTTATAATATTATATGAAGAAATATAGTCTTAAGGTGTGCCATATTTATGTGATAAAGTGCTCAATATCAGAGAGCGTGTGTAAATATAAAAAGTGTAAATTGAATTCAACACTGAGAGGCGACAGGCTGTTTCATGCTGGACGCAACCGTCAGGCAACGAGTCTTTGTCGCTTAGATACCTTTGTTTTGTTGTTTTTTTTAAGCATTACACCCCAAGCAAGGCGTGAAGCCACTAGGATGCAGGGGGTTGCAGAAGATTTGGAGCAAGAGCAGATAGGAGAGATAGAAGAAAGGATGAGGAGAAGGATAGTGGGTAGATCAAGGTAATTGGAAATGTCGATTGACATTACATTTGAATAGTTGGAGATTATAGCTCTCAGGGAAACAGTAATTGGGAAGGGTGTTCCACAGGCGAGAGGTGCGAGGTATGAAGCTATTGGAGTAGAAGAGACGGCTACATTTAAAAGTTTCTACAGTGAAAGGGTGAGAGCGGGATGCCAGCCTCGTAGGGTGCTTGAATTCATGAAGTCTGGGAGAAGGAACAATTACCATGAAAGTACTTGTAAAAAAGACAGAGAGAGGCAACAGCGCGTCTGTGAGAGAGTGACTGTAGAGGAGATGCCAGATCAGGGCCAATTATATTGCATATCCGTCTTGTTGTTGATATATTATTGCTTATATGTAACAAATGAATGTGGAAACTTTCGGTGTGCAAAATATATAGACTCGTGGCCTGACGATTGCGTCCAGCATGAAACAGACTGTCTCCTCTATGTGTGTTGACTTCAATTTTCACTTATATATATATATATATATATATATATAGTTGAATTGATGTGAGTTTGTGATCTTGTGTTTCACGCTATTTGCGATCGTCAGACAAACTGATTGATTTTTAAATTTTGGATTTATATATGGTTGCATATATCGGTGTTTTTTATGGCAGTGGGAGGAAAAATTTTCGTCGCAACGCCACATATACATTCACGTACGTTCACGCATTGCAGCTCACACAAACATAAACATATATGAACAATGTGGGACTGGGCGTATATACGCATCCATGCGTCACGTTGCGTGTATACGTACGCAAGATAAATTGTCGTCTACATTACACACCAATGAAAATAACTCTGACATTTCATTTTATAAAAAATTACACAAAAATATCTTGAAAATTTATACACATTATGATCTATCAACCAGTTTAAGATTAATATTTTTTCACTGATTTCATCACCATCTACAAATTGTTTTTAATTAATATCCAATTCACTGCCGGGGTAAGAAATCCCAGAAGAAAGAAATTTAAACATTAGATCTCTTGGGTTGTCTCGCTAGAACAATTACGACTGAGCAGTGAGTACGATCCTCACTGGGTGCCCCTTACTTTTGGCCTTGTGTCACATCCAAGCTACGCTTGGATAATTACAAGGGCACCTCAAGGGGGTGTAATGGTTAGCAAGCCTGTCTCGCTAGAACAATTACGACTGAGCAGTGAGTTCTATCCTCACTGGGTGCCTCTTACTTTTGGTCTTGTGTCACATCCAAGCTACGCTTGGAATATTACAAGGGCACCTCGAGGTGGTGTAATGGTTAGCAAGCTTGTCTCGCAAAAACAATTACGACGGAGTAGGGAGTTCGATCCTCACTGGGTGCCCCATACTTTCAGCTTTGTGCCACATCTAAGCTAAGCTTGGAAAATCACTAAACGTTAGATGTCTTGCCAAAAGTTATAAAACTGTTGTATCTCGTGTTTTCGAGATAACAGAGGGAAAATTAACAAGACAAACTCGTAGGTAATGTAATCGAAGGTTTGCAACACGAAGCTACTCTTAGCAATTGATTTAATGCTAACTCGATATTTACCCGAGCGCCTCACACAGCGGGATGTAGCAGAAGGCCGATTAAACGTGAGTCTTTCCGAGACCGTAGGCCCGGGCAAACATTTCCCGTAATAACGGTGTCGGGTTCGTCTGCCTCCCCAGACGAGACTCTGCCCTTCGGCATTACCTCGTCTGGGTTCCTCTCCGTCCGGATGCAGAGAGTCGACAAGCAGAGTTGCCTGATGCCAACTCGATATTTACCCGAGCGCCTCACAGAGCGGGATGTAGCAGAAGGTCGGGTTAACGTTGTTTTTTTCCGAGCCCGTAGACCCGGGCAACCATTTCCCTTAGACTCCGTAATAACGGTGTCGGGTTCGTCTGACTCCCAAGACAAGACTCTGCCCTTCGGCATTACCTTGTCTGGGTTTTCCTCTACCCGAAGGCAGAGAATTCGACAAGCAATAAGAGCATAGCATGCGGCTAAGACCTAATGCTGACTCTCCTCAATCCAGCTTAACTCCGCTTATTTACATAAATGGACGATTCCATTTATATTCTAAAAGACAAAAACAAACATTGCTTTCATCACCATGTACAAATTGACTTGAATTCCAATCAGATTCCCTGACAGAATACAATGACCTCAAACTTGCAGTCGTGAAACGCTGATAAAATTTCACGCGGGCTGTATTGGATAGTGTCACCGATTTCTGGAAGTCCCCCGGCTAGGACCACATGACACACTCCATAACTGTTCGAAAGCGCGTGACAGAACTTATAGATTTTTCGACATCTAATCTCAAGGGATTTTTTTCTGCATTTTCGTATATATTTCTATAGATAGGTCGCCCTTAACGCCCATCATTCTTAAACGACGTTTAGGATCGCCCGGTTCGTACTTCTTCCCAGTATTTTGAACAGGAGTAGCTGTTTATCCCAGGTTTCCTGTTTGGGATTTGCTTTACGGTTCTTTCTGATGTATTCTCATTCTCTTTCACTCCCAGTATCCCCTTACATCTTAGTGGCATCGCCTTGCTTGGGGTGAATTGATTACAAAAAATAAAAAAGAAGAAAATAAAACAAATCCGACTGGAAATCGAACCCGGCACTCAGATTTCCAATTCCAAGCCGCTATTCATTAAACGACCTGCAGAGAATCTGATACCCACAAGTGGTCACCCATTTAGGTACAGACCACTGACCAGGATCGATGTTGCTTAATTCAATGATCAGTGTTCCAGTTCCTTCTAAATCATTTTTTTCATTCTATTTCATTCCTAGTAACACCTTGCATCTTAGTGGCGTTATCACCTTCTTTGGGGTGAATTGATTACAAAAAACAAAAGATAAAACAAGACTCATTTTTGAAATCAGGTGCCACTCAAAAACCCCGAGTTCAACCGAAAGAATTTTCGCCAAAAGCGTGACGAATTTTTTCGAGCGTCTAAAAATCAGTTTTACCGAGCTTCACGAAAAGAACTGAAACAGGGATATTGCCCGAATTACTATACTATTGTAAAGTTCGCAGAGCCGTTCCAACAGCATCGCCTAATAATTGAACACGATTATGTAAAACAAGGCCTGGAGAGGGTTGGGCTCCGTAAGGCTATCTTGACCAAGAAACACCACTTCTACTGCGGGTACAGTTCATGTAGTGCCCCTAAGACCCCGATGGGTCACGGAATTCACAATCCTGATCATGATGTAGAACGAAATCTATTGGCGGAATAATTCGCTAAGCTGGGTAACAATGGGCGTTATTAGCACAGACATGTTCGTTTAGTAATCTAATCACAAGAGATACCATTCAGGCAGTTTCTGACATCAGCTCGTGTCAGGTCATGTTTTTCTTCACAACTGTGCCTTTGCGCGGATTAAGCTGAAATATTTAAGCAAATAATTGGAGCCCCTACCACAACATAATTAGTCAGTGTTTCACTCCTAATTGGTAGCGTGGATAGTTCCTTGCACAATGCTCCACAAATATGGCCTTGTACAAGACAAAGTTAAGATTAGGAAATAACAGAGGTGATCATGGCAGAGAGACATATACGAAAAGATATATATATATATATATATATATATATATATATATATAGAGAGAGAGAGAGAGGGCGACAGTCTGTTTCATGCTAGACGCAATAGTTAGGTCTGACTATTGCGTCTAGCATGAAAAACAACAAATCGCCCTGTGTTGACTTCTATGTTCAAATTATATTTACACACGCTCTATCTCTGATATTGAGCACTTTATCCCATAAATATAGCACACTTTAAGACTATATTTCTTTTTATATATATATATATATATATATATATATATTTTTGTGTATTTAGGCAGCAAGCCTTCTTTTATGCACATTTCATTGAATACGACAGACAAGGTGCTTTTATTTAGTTTTTTACACAATTTCTCATGCGATCTAATAATTTTTTTTCTTTTCGAATGATAAATTATATAAAAACTGTCCGAATGTTCTTTTTATCCGAGCGCTTTCGGCTATACATTTATCCATTTTCAAGGATGAAATATTTTAACAGTTAAATAAGAAATAGTTTGTTGTATGTATGTTTTATAAAATGTTTTCATTTTTCAAAACACGGTCAAGATATTATGTCCATGTTCAAAGTTAATATTATTAAGTGTTGGTTTGTTTGTTTTTATTAATGAGGCTTCCATTATTTTTAGCCTTTTTTGTATGTAGATGATTCTATTATATTAGTGTTGTCAACAACGTGTCCGGTAGGTCTCCATGAATATATATTACAAAGAACGAACATAATCTATGAATTCAAATGCCCCTTAAGGAACTGTGTTCCTGATCAAACCGGACTCATAAATAATTACATCGGTTACACAACCACATGCCTATCCAGACGTCTTACGTTACACCTATCTGACTACAGCTCCATTAGAACCCATTTAAACACACACACAAATTTAACAGATTCCACCAGGAACATACTAGTAGAAAACACAAATATAATAAATTCATCCAATTGTAAAAAAAGATTAAAAATAATGGAAGCTTTAATAATAAAAGAGAAAAAGCCAACTCTTAACAATATTAACTACGAACAAGGCCACAATGTGCTAATCGTATTCGGAAATTAAAAACATCTCTACAACACACTAGGACATACACGTAATGCACTCACTCAATTAAGCTGAAAAATCGAATCATCCTTGATAATGGCTAAAGGTATAGCCGAAAGCGCTCGGAAATATAAAACATTTGGACAGTTTTTACACACCCTTGTCCAGAAAAGAAAGTTCTTGTTAGAACACAAGAAAAATTATATAAAAACTTAACCGTAGTACCTTGTTTGTCGTTTTTAATGAAACATGTATAAACGAAAGATTTCTGCCTAAATATACAACTATGTATATATATATATATATATATATATATATATATATATATATATATATATATATAGTCGTTTATATACATACATAAACTCGACTCTCCCGTCGAATTCGACGTATGAGGGTCAAGCAAGGTTCCTAGGAACAGAGAGTCCGACACCAGAACATGAGATTTGATTATAGTGGTGAAGGTTTCGTGCAGAACCATTCACACTTTTTGAAGGGCCGAATAAAGTGACCTAGTGAACTGCCACAAGGTCCCCAAAAGACTCTCCGAAGGTTTTGAATTCAGAGTTGTCCTCCTTCTAGACATCCAAGGCTATAGAACCCACTCTGTCCTGCTATTTACTCATAGTTGGAAGGAGAAGAAGAGAATTCATACCTTCCCTATTAGTACGTAAGTGAATGCAATGGACTCGATTGGAATTCGAACTCGGCTCTCCGATTCCTCAATACAAACCGCTATCCACTACTACACCGTGCCTCATATCTATCTATCTATCTATCTATCTATCTATCTATCTATCTATCTATCTGGCGAGGGAAATGTCACGCATCGTAGGAGTTAATACATAGGTAGAAAAGTTCCTGTTGAGTGGCCACAAAGGTCACCAGACCTCCCACTTGAATTTATTGAAGAACTTAAAGGAAGAATTAAATATGAATGCAGAGGAAACTCTGTGACATGGCAATGAATCATGCAGGCACAGAATTAAAATCTGTTTTGAAAAAGGAGGAGGCCATTTTGAACTGCACATATAACAATTAAATAACGAGTAAATACAAATTTCATGTGTAATTATACTTTTAATAAATTATCCCGATGGTGCAGGACTTTTGCCTCACCCACTCTTTTCTCTCTCTCTCTCTCTCTCTCTATATATATATATATATATATATATATCTATATATATATATATATATATATATATATATATCTATATATATATATATATATATATATATATATATATATCTTGAGATATATATATATATATATAATATATATATATATAATATATATATATATATATATATATATAGAGATTAATGAGACATAAATATGAATTGAAAATATGTATATATAAATAGGCTAAGAGAAATATATAAAGATTGAGATACATATATATGAATAGGCTTAGATAGATAGATAGATAGATAGATAGATAGATAGATAGATAGATAGATATAAACAGACCGAAACACACACGCAAACACACAAAAATTTTGCACAATGAGTGCTGCTGGCAATAAAAGCGCTGGATAGATAGATAGATAGATAGATAGATATGAACAGACCGAAACAGATAGATCGATAGATAGATTGGTAGATAGATATATATGAACAGTCAGCGACACACACACACACACACACACACACACACACACACACAAATTTTGCACAATGAGTGCTGCTGGCAATAAAAGCGATAGATAGATAGATAGATAGATAGATAGATAGATAGATAGATAGATAGATAGATATGAACAGACCGAGACAGATTGATCGATAGATAGATTGGTAGGTAGATAGATAGATAAATATGAATAGTCCGCAATAGATAGATAGATAGATAGATAGATAGATAAGAATTATTTCAAAGACAAACTCGACATAGTTATTGTTGTATGCAAGTCTTTCAAAACACACGTAAGACATATTTACCCTTCAGAAAAGAAACAAAAACGAATTTCTTCAAACTGTTCTGAAACAAATGCAGATTGATGTGTTTTTAACAATAGATGAATAAATAAACCCACTTAGACGTGGACTTAAAATAAACGGACATATTTAATACCAGATGTGTTTTGCTTTATAGTCCCTTTGTTGGGAAGACTTCTTTTTTATCTTAGCCATGCGTAGGAGAATGTAGCGCTTCCTTTTGGCCTTGTTGAATGCATACAAATGACTCACTGTCTTTTGAAATCTACAGAAAAATATCACCAGAACGTTGGTGAAAAAATGAAAATTTTACTAACTATTGATCAAGTAAGCACTTTTTAAAATCTATCTATCTATCTATCTATCTATCTATCTATGTCTCGTTTCTTTCTTTCTTGGCGTCTATCTATTTATCCCATTTCTTTATTTCTTCCTTTCTTTGTTTTTTTCTATCTATCTATCTATCTATCTATCTCGTTTATTCTTTCTTTCTTTCTTTCTTTCTTTCTTTCTTTCTTTCTTTCTTTCTTTCTTTCTTTCTTTCTATCTCCATTCTTTCTTTCTATCTCGTTTCTTTCTATCTATCTATCTATCTATCTATCTATCTATCTATCTATCTATCTCGTTTCTTTCTTTCTATCGTTTTTCTTCTTTCTTTCTTTCTTTCTTTCTTTCTTTATTTCTTTCTTTATTTCTTTCTATCTATCTATCTATCTCGTTTCTTTCTTTCTATCGTTTTTCTTCTTTCTTTCTTTCTTTCTTTCTTTCTTTCTATCTATCTATCTATATCTATCTATCTATCTCGTTTTTCTTTCTTTCTATCTCGTTTCTTTCTTTCTTTCTCGTTTCTTTCTTTCTATCTCGTTTCGTTTTCTTTCTTTCTATCTCGTTTCTTTCTTTCTTTCTATCTCGTTTCTTTCTTTCTTTTTTCTTTCTATCTCTATCTTTCTTTCTTTCTTTCTATCTCGTTTCTATCTTTCTTTATTTCGTTTCTATCTTTCTTTCTATCTCGTTTTTTCTTTCTTTCTATCGTTTCTTTTTCTTTCTATCTTTCTTTCTTTCTATCTATCTATCTTTCTTTCTTTCTTTCTATTCCTTTTTTTTTTTCTTTCTTTCTTTCTATCTTTCTTTCTTTCTATCTTTCTTTCTTTCTATCTCGTTTCTTTCTATCTATCTATCTATCTATCTCGTTTCTTTCTTTCTATCTCGTTTCTTTCTTTCTATCTCGTTTCTTTCTTTCTATCTCGTTTCTTTCTTTCTTTCGTTTTCTTTCTTTCTATCTCTTTTTTTTCTTTCTTTCTTTCTTTCTATCTATCTATCTATCTCATTTCTTTCTTTCTATCTCCTTTTTTTGTTTTTTCTATCTATCTATCTATCTATCTCGTTTCTTTCTTTCTTTCTTTCTTTCTTTCTTTCTTTCTTTCTTTCTTTCTTTCTTTCTTTCTATATCTCGTTTCTTTCTTTCTTTTATCTATCCATCTATCTCGTTTCTTTCTTTCTTTCTATCTCGTTTCTTTCTTTCTTTCTTTCTATCTATCCATCTATCTCGTTTCTTTCTTTCTTTCTATCTCGTTTCTTTCTTTCTTTCTATCTCGTTTCTTTCTTTCTTTCTATCTCGTTTCTTTCTTTCTTTCTATCTCGTTTCTTTCTTTCTTTCTATCTCGTTTCTTTCTTTCTTTCTATCTCGTTTCTTTCTTTCTTTCTATCTTTCTATCTTTCTTTCTATCTTTCTTTCTTTCTTTCTTTCTTTCTATCCATCTCGTTTCTTTCTTTCTTTCTTTCTTTCTTTCTATCTCGTTTCTTTCTTTCTTTCTTTCTTTCTTTCTATCTCGTTTCTTTCTTTCTTTCTTTCTTTCTATCCATCTATCTCGTTTCTTTCTTTCTATCTCTTTTCTTTCTTTCTTTCTTTCTTTCTTTCTTTCTTTCTTTCTATCTATCTATCTCTTTTCTTTCTTTCTTTCTTTTTCTTTCTTTCTTTCTTTCTATCTATCTATCTATCTCGTTCCTTTCTTTCTTTCTATCTATGTCGTTTCTTTCCTTCTGGCCATCTATCTATCTATCTATCTATCTATCTATCTATCTCATCCTATTCTTATCTCTATAACAGACGAACTCCTTTTTCCTTATCTATGAAACGAAATATTTTTCTCGCTGTGTATTTGTACACACATGTATCTAATTGAGCATATTTCTTTAAACTTAAACCCACCGCCAAGAGAAATAAGCTAATAAAACAAGAATGAAAGAAAACACTTATCTGGCATAGGCTCTCTCTCTCTATCTTTCTCTCTCTCTCTCACACACACGCACACACACACACACACACACACACACTCTCTCACACACAAATATATATATATGTAAATCTGCAATTGTAGCTTTAACAATATTTTTTCAACAGGAGTTATATCAACACAAATCATGCGGTACACTCACTCACTCTCACGCAAGCACACATACACTCACGTACACACACATACACACACGCAAATACACATTCTTACGATCACACATATATGTAGCGGACCAAGTCTGTGTTATGCCAGAGTTTCTTTCAAAAATTCTCTCGTATCTTGAAATTGCATGATCAAAATTTTCGTAATTAAAGCAATTTTAAACATTTCTGTTACAATTTCATTATAATATTAATCGTAATTATATTTAAAAAATATATTTTTTAATTAATCATCATAATTATATCATAATATCCTCATTCTTAACTTCGTCAGGCCATGTGCGTTATGTTTTTGCTCGATTTTTTGCTTAGATATCAAACAAAATATACACAGGAGTAACTGAAGGACCCTGGAAGCAAAGAAATTATGTACACAAAACATTGAATACGCCAACAGCAGAATGTTTTCAAAACATATCTGGCAGATTAAAAAATGAAAAAAATTAATACCAAAAACATCATGAAAATTAAATAACATCAGCCTACAATAATCAATCCAAAAACTATAAACTGCTTGGAGGAAAAAAGCTATAATTATCTTCCCAAACCAAAACAAACTACTAAATAGACGATCAGAACTCATCTCAAAATGCATACAAATATATATCGGTCAAGATATTATTAATAAAAAAACAACAACAACACTTAATAATGTTAACTTTGAACATGAACACAATCTCTTGACCGTGTTTGGAAAAATGAAAACATTTTATAAAACATACATACAACAAACTATTTCTTATTTAAGATTTAAATATTTAATCCTTGAAAATGGCTAAATGTATAGCCGAAAGCGCTCGGATAAAAAGAACATTCGGACAATTTTTATAAAATTTATCATCCGAAAAAAAAAATATTAGATCGCATGAGAAATTTTATAAAAAACTAAATAAAACCACCTTGAAATGGTCGTATTCAATGAAATGTGCATATATATATATATATATATATATATATGTGTGTGTGTGTGTGTGTGTGTGTGTGTACAGTGCTGTTCGATAAAAGTGACTCATCTGATTGTTTTTACTAAAAATATTTTTTGTCTATTGTTTTTGGGTTAAAATAATTTTTAATCTTAATCCCCTTCCCGACCACCTAGGAAAAAAGTTTATTCACCCTAAGGTATTCTATTGATAATTATAAATTTGGATGTAAATGAGATCCAGGAAAAAATTCTGTGCAAAAAAAGTGACTCAGATATCGCATTCTAATGATTAAACTGGTCAATTTAAAGAGATTTTGAGAAAATATTGAAAACTTATTTTACAATACACTCAGAACAATATTCTAGAGAATTCTAGAACAGCTTAAATTAAATCTAGAGTATTCCAGAATATTCCAGAAAGCCTCATACAGTATAAAAACATCTTGAAATAGCCACTTAAGTCACTAACAAGATGAAAGGATACAAACACGCATCAGAACCATTTAAGGCATCTATTATTGCCCTCTCAAAAGCAGGCAAGTCTACGAGAGAAATTGCTATAACCTCGCAATCAACTGTCTCTCGAGTGCTTAGGGCACATAATGATGCCACTCCTGCTCCAAGGAAGGAAACAAGGGGACGAAAGAAAAAGATTGATGATAGAACTGGCAGGGCAATCAAGAGAGAAGTTGCAAAGAATAGGACTATAACTTGCCAAGAAATTGCAGCCAGTCTTAGCGAAGTGCAACGTATTATTCTTGTCTCTTCAACAGTCCGTCAGAACAAGGTTATGAATCTTGTTAGAACAAGGCTACAAATCTTGTACACGAAGGTTTAAGCCGCTAATAAGCAAAGCCAACAAAGCCAAGAGACTTGAATGGGCTCACTATTAAAAAAAATTTCACCGTAGAAGACTGGGAGAATGTTCTCTTCTCCGATGAAACGAAAGTTGAGGTAAATTCAAAGGATAAGGTGAGTCACTTTTATCGAACAGCACTATATATATATATATATATATATATATATATATATATATATATATATATATATATATGATGAGGAATTAATAGATTTTTGATTTTATTTATAATCCGATAGTATTTGATATTGATCTGAACATAAGGATGTGCTTCTTTTCGAATCGATCATGGAAACTGGGAAATGACGCGCTCTGTGGCCGAGCGGTCAAAATCACCGCGGATCAGACGATGATTTCTCAAAAAAAAAAAAAGAAAAAAAAGAGGCACACAGATTCAAGCTAACGAAAAGAACATATTCTTTATTAAGACTCTCAAATACATAGGCCAGTAGACTTAATTAACAATAATTAAAAAAAAACAGGGTGTTTACTTAACTACGTATCCACAAAAAACTTCATACACACCTATTTCTATATGTTACTTGAAACGTCATTAGAGTGGACACTTTGCATTTGAAATAGACGTCCTATAATCATTTCTTATACAGTATTTCTTATGTTTACCTGCATGCGTACTGTAGAAATCTTAATGGAGAAAATGAATTCACCGGCAGATTTATCAGTTCTTTCGAAATTACTTTGTTTACGCCCCAGATGCAAAACTGAGATTTTTATAGGCTTTCAAGATAAAAAGTCTTACTTGGGAAGATTTGCTTTGCCTAGAAACGTATAAGAGTGCGTTGCTTAAGTATAATGTTCTTTGTGGTTGAGTGATAAATCATGCTGGATTAAACTCTTTCTCCTACAAAGGAAGACGCAGGTTCGGTCCCTACCGGAGAACGCACTCTTCAACTGGACCCAAGATTTCATGCAGACTGTTGCCACTCGGTTTTTGCCTCAGCGTCCACACACACAGAACTCCACTACTATGAATGAAAAGTTACTCCGTTTAATTTAGTGAAGTAACATACGTATAGTAAAACTCCTTCCTAAGTTGTGTATACGATAGTGGTGTAATATGTTGCTTGAATTTGCACACCCCACTCCTCTGCAGAAAAATCTCGGACCCCAGGTAGCTCCCCCGCCCACTTTCAGAGTTCCAGAATCGCCACTGGCAAGCATATAAAATATACCTCACACTCACAAGATGTGCGAAAAAACAAGTCCCGCTATCTGAGCAACCACACAGAGAATAATTCTATGCTTATGTACCAAAAAAAGCCATGTGTCGGTACCAGATGCGTCGAACTGCTATAAACAACTGTCACGTGATGCTTTCAATTGGGTGAGGGGGAAGTGAGTTACGGCTTTTTTCGGGTTTTCTTTGGCACAAATTGTGGAAAGACAGAGATACCATTATTTGTCTTTCGCTCACAATACACACAACTGAAGAAGCGGATAATTTCTACTCTTTAACAGGAAGGTGATTAGTAAGCAATATCTCAAAATAGTACAATTTTTTTTAATTATAAATTATTACTATTTATTTTATTATACTATTTACATTATTCGGACGATTGTCCTCATCTTTGTTGCCATATTTATTACAACGTTTCGGCCTTTCAGTATCTGTCTATATTTCTGAGATGAGGCATTATGTACATTATTTACATTATTCGGACTATTGTCCTCATCTTTGTCACCATATTTATTACAACGTTTCGACCTTTCTCAGAAATATAGACAGATACTGAAAGGCCGAAACGTTGTAATAAGTGGTGACAAAGATGAGGGCAATAGTCCGAACAATGTAAATAGTGTACATAATACCTCATCTCAGTAATATAGACAGTTATTTTATTATATAATAAAATAATTTCATTTTTTTTTTTTTTTTTTGCCAAATTTCAAATTACGGAAACATGCTTTCACTCATGCCAGACAACTGATGGTTCGTCTGGCGATGGCACTTACGAATGAGTTTTTTGTTTTGTTTTTAATCACTCCCCGCCAAGTAAGGATATAAAGTCACTAAGACGCAAGGCGTTAAAGAACGTTAGATAATATAAGAAAAACAAAACGGTGCTATTTTGGAATGTTATCTACAAAGAAAAATCTCTACACCTTATAAAATTTTTTTTTGATGATATCTACACAGTAAAGTATATTATATTATATATACCGTAGAAATTATATTTTGGGATGATATCTACATGTTAAAACATATGAAATATATATAACATAAAGAAAATGTAATTAAAATATTAAAATGTTTCTTTTATTTATATTCTAGCGATTAACAACATATATATCAGCTAAAATACCTCCACCGTCCAAATATTAAGTTGAAATGATATTTACATATTAAAACATAATAACATATATGTAACAGAGAGAAAATGTAATGAAAATATTTAAAAAAAAAACTATTAATGTATTCATAACACATACATCGCAATATAAAGTATAGATCGCTTACCAAAGTAGAACATATATATATATATATATATATATATATGTCACATTATGAAATGGACAAAGTCCGACAATTTTGGTTTTCTTATATGTGTGATGTCATTTGTTTACATTTGATACGCCATGAGCAGATATGAACATACTTGAGAGATTCATGGAAGATTGTAGTTTAAAGACAGTAAAATCGACCTTGCTAACCGAACGCTACTCTGTGGCCGAATCGGTTAAGGCACGTCAGGCTATATGACGGTTCCGTACAGGATACAGGTTGAATTCCTGTCGGAGGACAAAAATTTTCTGTGAAAATTTCTCGGACATTCAGGCCGGTAAATTTTGTTTAATACTTTTTCTTATAAAACAGAGCATTTACTTAAATATTTTTACATATAAAAAGAATGTACAAACATAAAAATGTTTTCATATATATATATATATATATAGATAGATATATAGATATAGATAGATATAT